TTTATTAAATACAGATTAAGTACGATACTTTTCCCGACGATTTGCGATCCTACCTTTTTTACATAAACGCGTACAACATTTCTCACTTTCGCCGCGCCGCGCGCAAATTAACGATTGGAACAACGAGGGAATCAATTTACAAATCCCGCGGTCATAACGCAGCAAACCGCAGGTCCGTTTTAAGAAGAAAGTAATTACGTTGTACGATTAGATCAAAGGAAAAAGAAAAAAACAGGGAGAAAGCAGAGAGAGAGAGAGAGATTTTTCCAGCTGAACTGACGGTATAATTTAAAGGCCAGCCTAGCGGCGAGCAAGAATATTTGTTTCTCGAGCGTGTTCTCTCGGTCGAGGATCGAAAGCAAGGAGCGGTGAATCGCGGCGGAAATCCTGTAAGCACGCTTCCCTGGCGGGTTTTTGAACGAAACAAGCTCGGTTGGTTTTAAAGGGTAGCTTATTATACCAGTGCGCTGTTCCCAGCCCAGCCCCTTCCCCAACCCTCTTCAGCCTACCGCCCCTTGATATCTCCATCCTGCTGCTCGATGAAATTTTGCTATTGAACGCGCATCGTTGCACCAGCCTGCTTGTGGTGCAATAATTAAGGTGCACGTCTGCATCGTACAGCGATTCCGTCGTTATTGATCCGACAGCGACGGGCTCAATGTTAATTACCGGCTTAGTCAGCCGTTCCTCTGTATATTTTCACCGTGATTAAGGCTAATACCATACACAGTTCGAATTGTAACGCCCTCGTTGCGGGTTAATTTCATTGAAAATTTCACGCCGTTCGTTTATCGCGAACGATACTTCCGAACGGAATTCCCCGTTCTTTCGCGAAAATTCGCTAAAATTATTCGCTTAATATTACCTGTTCGTTTATTTCGTTTTAATCTTATTTATTTATTTTCATCTTTGCTTGTTTATGTCGACCTGCTTTGTAGTATTTCATTGCTCAAGACAGCAAAGCACGCGGAATTCCCTTCGTGTATTTTTATCTCTCAATTGTTTCGTGAAATTCTTTCGCCGCCTGTTTGCTCGTTTATTTACACTGGAAACGTGCTCAATAATCTGATTTCATCCGCGAAATGTGTACATAATAGAAAATTATCCCTTTCAATTATAAAGTTAGCCCCGGAGCCAAGAAAGAACGCAACTTTTTTATTCCCTTGGGATTTATTTCCTCGCGTCCTCCTGTTGCTCGTTTATCTTGCCATTTCGTTTGTTTACGTTCCCCGTTTTATTTCTTTTCAATAAAAGCCATCCCCGCGATACATCCGCGAGCGCTCTCGAGTCGCAAGAAACGAATCCCTTCTTGAGAGAAATGTTCAAAGGGGAGCCACAGTTCGATGCTTCGAGAGTTAATCTTTTGTTCTTCTTTGCCAAATAAAAAGCGGAAGTCCGTCGGACGGATCGCGGAGCAAATGGTTGCGAAAGTTTTCATTCAGCCGGCGAGCTGAGTTCAGCTTATAAAACTTCACCGTGTAACGAAGGAGGGGTGATCGAATAAATAACGTAGGCCGGAAATGTCGGGCGTGATTTCGATCGAAAGAGCGCCGAGAGGGAGGATAGGGGGATCTCGCGGGATCGAGTTAACGTCAAAGATTGATCCCGGCGATAGCACGCCATGCGGCCGTGCGTAATTAATAATTAGTGGCCGACCAGAAAATTATTCGCTATTATGGTAATAGCGATTAAATCATCACTGCTGCGTGTTACCGCTCTAGATTTTCCACCGGGCAGTTGCCTAAGCTCTTGTCAATTTGCGCTCAATGGACCACGCCGGCGAGAGGAGAACGTTGCAAGTTCGAAATGGAAAGAAAAGAAGCTGCACAGCTTCTTCGAGATTTTCGGCAAGCTGATAATCAAACGATTGCTCAATCGTATTTTCGTCGATTAATTCGAAAGGCGAACGCGAGCCGAAGAAAAAAAAATAAATAAATAAAGAAGAATCCACTCCATTTCGTTCCTCTCTATCGCTTTTTATATTCACCCCCGTTGGCGCTTAAAAGAGGCACGTTTCTCCCTCGTGAATTTTTTCGCTCTATCCTCCCGATTCTTTTTATCGCGAGCCACGCAACGATTCATCTCGATATCAAACAGAGGGGTCTTTTTTAATCCCTCCTCCGGTCTAGTCTAGTCGGCGAATGCGCGAAAATGAAAACGAAGGATTGCCTCTCGTCCCAATCGCCGGCGCAGTCTCGCCGATTATCCGTCATCCTGGCGAAATAAAGAGACACGAACGCCGAACAAAAGGGGAGTTTGTTAAACGCTCGAGCCTTCCTCTGTGCGTGGCGCGCGTGTGACGCGTGTTTGATGTGTTCCTTTTCAAACGACAACGGTTTGAAGATTTCCCGTTCTTGGAAGGATGTTCTTGCAATTTTTTGCGAATACTGAGATAAAGACACTGCACGAGCGCCGCGTGCTCGTGGCTTCTTTTTTCTCCACGGGCAGATGAATTCCAACGTTTCGGCCGAGAGGGGATGAACGGTTTGACGGCAATCACGAAAGTGGAAGAATAATACGCGCAGAAAGGAAGATTTACGTCGGCTCTTTTGTTCTTTGGTTTCGGAGAAATGTATGACGCGGGGTATCATAGACGAAAATGTTATGGAGAATGGGCACAGCGGATGAAGATTACATATTGTTGATAAGGATATTATTTAACAATGACGAGGAATGCCGGAAATACGAGAGAGAATGAGTCTCGCGAAAAGAAGAAAGTGAATACGCGAAGATCGCAGGGAGAAATATAATAAATTGTTAATGTCGAAATAATAAAAAATTCTAACGTTTGAACATTTGAAAATTAATTTGAAAATCATGGTGACTTACATCTGTTTAACGTCATCGAATCTCAGCCACGTTTTAACAGGAAACGCGGCGCATAGAAATAAATCGTCGATCAGCCGGAATAAGCGAGCCACAAATCACGATAGCGCTCGTTTGCTGGCCGTTTTCACCAGCGTTTCATCGTTCCATCTTCCACTGCCAAATCGAGGGAAAAGGAGGTCGAAGCGACGACAGCGAAAAGTAGCCACTGAAATCGGGGAGGCATGCCCCTCAGCCTCGTATCTGCCATTTCAAAACGAAGGATCCAACCTATTTCATCTTTTTTGTCACTCGCTTGAAAATTTTCAAATCTTTCTCCAAAAATAAATCTCTTTTAGCCTCGAATACTTTTCGTCTAAACCTGAGAAAGTGAAAGTAATTAATTTACAAAAATATGCGCCTATCTGTCCGTTATGTATGAACAATGTTCTATGACGAACGAATGAGTTTCTATTCACGTGAAAAGAAGCAGAGCGATCGTTCGCTATGTATTTACACTGTAAGTGAAATGTTTACTTTAGGAATCCCAAAGTCTCGGTGGTAAACGTAAAAGAATATCCCAAAAATAGGAAAGAAATATCTGACGCGGGGAAGTTCGATCGATCCCGAATATTCTTGGAAGTTGAACGTTTTATGAAAACCAATTTAGCGCTCGAACTTTACGATGCCGGATTTTCATCCCGATGGACAAGAACGATATATATCCACGGTTCCAGAAATAACATTCTATGGTTGCTCGAAAGGTTCAAGCAGCAAGCACATCCTGCCAGGAGTCGAGTCGATAAGATGAAAGCTTTATACTTGACGGGCGGTATTAACTTCCTCGCGTTTCGCTTATTTTTCACTCGTTTATGAGACTTTCTTTTTCTTTTTCTTTTTCTTCTTTCTCTCTCTCTCTCCTTTTCTTCTTTCTTTTTTCTTGTTCCTTTTTCCTTTGAAGACACGGCCGGCTTGTTGTACGTGCCGACTCGTTCTGTCTTTTAACGAGAACGCAAAGTCGAGGAGATTACGAGACGAACGAGCTTCAAGTCGCAAGAAACGGCTCGCTTATCGTAAAGTTCGGCCTCGTAAAATCCGACGGCTGGACGAACAATGAAATTCCAAGCATGCCATGAAGCTTCGTGTTTAAATACTTTTATGGCGACCAGAGCTTTACCATTGGTCGAGAAACTATGATAAGGGTGTGAGTTTCAATTAACCCGCGAATTGTGAATTCTTCGAGATTCCTTATCGTTATCGTGAAGTATACAACAACACTCGAGAATATTTTCCATGTTTTGAAAATTATTATCGAATATCTCGAAATATCAATATTTCTTTGTAGTCGTTAAAGTTTTTACCATATCTTTATAACAATGATCGATCAAAAAATTTTGCTGCATATTGTTCGTATTTGAAAACGCAATTATTTCTACACTTAAAACTACGCTTAACGTTCTTATCGGTTCTTTATCTTCTTATTATAGATAAATAAAATTCTTGTACAGAAAAATATTAATTTCGAACATAAAAGTTCCAAAATCTTATTGCAGTTTTATGTCTCGCAATTTCAATCAAATTTTGCAGTTTATATAATGTTGTGATGCTTTAATATAGCTTATATGTTACAAATTAGTGTACTTGACGCAAAATAAAAAAACGAAACTCAATCCACATAGATCTATTTAAAAAATATTTTAAGAAGTATTCCAATTTTCGCGCTACGACATTGATCGATTGTCGATAAATTCATAGTAGGAATCTTTATTTACCGTAGATGGTTTCTAAGAATAGCTAATGCGTAATCTATGGTAAATGGTGATGGCACATTTTGTATGTGCTAAATTTTTCATTCCAATTTTCATCAATCTGTTTTAAATCGTTATATTTCTTCATTGATGAAATACCATCATGTTAAATTCAATAAATAATTCCGGAAACATTTAACAATACTGTCCATATTTTTGATTTTAATTCTCATCACCAGTAGTGCTGCGGTGCAAAACTTGAATCGGTACGTCAGGATGTAACACAAAAATGGTAATTAATCAATATGTACTTGCATAGGAATAGTCTCATGTACGATCGTTGTTCTTTTATCTGAGCTGATTCCCTTATCATCATGCGGTGTACAATTGAAATAATCTAACTAATAAAACTATTAATAAAAAAAGACACGAATAAATGATCTTTTAGATTTGTTCATTCATTCAATATTTTTATTTAAATATCTAAACAAATCTAAACAAACATATATTTTATTCTTACACTATATATTATGTCATGAATAAATCATTTAACGAAAGGATGATAATTAAGGTCATTACCATACTCGAATTTAGATTTGGAACGTTTGTTCTTTTTGGCTTCTTCCATCATCTTTATCACACCAGGTCTATAAAATAAAAAAGATATATAAAACGTTTATTAAAAATGCTACTTAAGGTTCTGAAAATGCTTACCTATAAGGCGGTGGTAATAATTCTTCATGCAATGTACATTGTATATTTGAACATGGCTCATTTTGTTTGTATATTTTTACTCTAATAATACCTATATTTCTTTTACAATCATCTTCAAGTCTAAGAAGCTTAGATGGTGGCATATCAAAACAAAACATAAAATGACTGAAAATAATAAATGTTACATTGTTATAATAAATAAATTATCTGCTGAATACATTTTATTTAAATGTACAAAAAAGAAAATGAACCAACACTAAATACATACCCAGCATGTGTATTAGTTTTACCATGGGCAATTGCCTTACATGGAAGTTCTTTATTTCCCCAGTTTTCAATCTTCCTAATAAATCCACCTGTTTCAAATATTGAATTTGCTACATTCTTTAAGGTAGTTGCATATTCTGCCTGTAAATATAATATATTTCAATTGTTAATCATAACAACATTTAGGTTAGAAAGCATATTAATTGTATTTTATGAAATATTATGAATTAATGCGATACCTTGCTTGCCAGTCGTAATAATAACGGCATTTCATAAGTCGGCATATTTCTATAATATTTCTATAATACGTTTACTTTTAATGTATGAATGAAATTTTACTTGAAATGAAACACTATTTTCCTCTCAACTAGACATTAACTAGAACCTATGAACTATATGTAATAACTTGACACGTGATATTTCACAACGTATTAAATGAATCACCTATATAGTAATTTATATCATTTATAGTTTATACGAGTAACAAATATTTAACTTTTGTTAACTTTTTGTCATTGATTAAAATTATCTATAAGTGTTTATTTTGATATTGACGAATAATAAGGTTATAATAACCTCATGCCGCTAATATGTACTTGAGAAAATCTTTCCTCACTTTCACAAGAAACTATAACGTTTTATGCTTAAATCTGATACAACAAAATTTATACTCATATCATGTAAATAAAAATTATGTCCCCCTGCAATTTTTAATAAACACATTACAGTATTCGAATAACAGTCCATCAAAATGTTGGAATTGTAATTTTGTGTACAAATCTGATTTGTTCTGCTCTAAATGTAAAGTTTTGCAAGAACCACCTGAAAATTTAACTTATTTCGATATAATAGGCATTTCAAGAAGTTATGACGTTAAAATTACGGAAATTCAAAAAAAGTACAAAGAACTCCAGAAATTATTACATCCTGATAAATATAGTACCAAATCTGAGGTAAGTGCAGTTTGATAAAGATATTAACATATTTATCTTGAGATATATTGTTGATTTCTTGTTTTATTTTTACAGAAAGAAAAGCAACTTTCTGAGAACTTATCATCATTAGTAAATAAAGCTTATACTACATTAATACATCCTCTAAAAAGAGGACTATATATGTTAAAATTAAATGGCATAACAATATCAGAAGAAACAGATAGCTTAAACGCAGAATTTTTAATGAAAATTATGGAAAAAAATGAAGAAATAGAGGAAGCTACAAATAATGTAGAGAAGATAAAGAAGCTAGTACAAGATAATGAAATTATCCTAAATAATTTAGCAAAGTATTTTGTTTCTAATTAAAAAATGAATGCATTGTTTTGTCACAGATTAATGAGCAGATTTTTTTCACAGGAAAATAGCGGATGCATTTAGACAAGAAGATATTGAAAAAGCAAAATCTTTTCTCGTACAAATGAAATATTATGATAGCATAAATAATAGATTAAAAAAATTAAAACATGATCTAGGTATAATAGAATAAACAATTTTTAAATATAAAACATTTGTACTATAATATATACATTAATTTTTGTGTATAAATGTATGACATATAATTGTTAGCGCGAAAAGTATATTGTCATCTATTTATTACTTAGAAATGTAAATATTTTATTTCTTCTGTTAGTATTTTTACTAATTAACATTTTAATAATATTGAATCATTCTCTTTTGTGTACTATTTATATAGTAATTCTGTAACTTTTTAAAATTGCATACATATATGAAATAAAGACAGTCATTTAAAAAAGTAATAAAATTCATAAAATTAAATTATTCTTGTTCATTATCTATTTTCCATTGTTCAATCCATTGACATATTCTATTCACATTTTCTGTTATTTGATTTAAATTGTTACTTGTCAGTTCGTGAATTATTTCTTCTTTATAAGCTAACCTTGCCTCTTCAAGAATAGTTTGAAATATTTCACAATCTATATTATCTTCTAACTTTTTTCCTGTATAACCTCTGTCTCTTAAACGATCATACAAAATAGTGTTGTCTGTTCGTAATACAAAAACAATATCAAACCACCTTTCAGGGAAAAAATCAGCTCCATGATAATCAACAATCTTTCCACCTTCGCACATAAGGGGTTCCATTTCATTCAATAACTGCAATTGGAAAGTACAATATTTACAATTTAATGAAATTGTAATTAAAACATATTTTATAAATTACCTTATCTTCATCCAAAATAGGACACTGATATACTTCATCATATCCTTCTAGGCATTCTTTTTCAATAGCAAATTTGCTAACATCAATCCAGGTTAATCCAGTCTTCTCAGATAAAATACGTGACATTAAACTTTTTCCTACTCCAGGTGTACCTAAACACGAAGAGTTTATTATTTCATTATATTTGATTTTTAAATCAACAAATTCGGCACATGTGGTACATTGTGCATGTGGTTATTAAACTTACCTGTTACTAAAATGTTTGGAAAATTTCTATCCATATCGATCATCTTCAAAATGACACAATTGTATTTATTTTAATATTAAAATAAATCTTGTCTAGTGAACATTTCTAAAAAATTACAGATCATCGCAGAAGTTTGTTGCTTACATTTATGTGAGTAACGTGTGAGGGCGTCATAAATCATCTTCGACATTAATCCTACCAGACTGAGAAATAAGCTGCAAATTAAATTTTGACAGATTTAAGAATATTTTTAAATTTTTTCAATTTTAACTAATATTTTTAATACATAATTATTACGCTATTCACGCTCATTATTAGTTTAATGTTTTTAAAACTTTTATGAGATTAACTTACTTTTTAAATTTCTGTAAAGAGAAATAAACAATTTCAAATTTATATACAAATTTAAATAAAAGATTAAAATATCTTTTATATAAATTAAATTTCTCTCAATACAGAATCCAATTTTATTAAAATTGTAAAATTATATTTCGATATTTTAAACAGTTTTTAAAAGTACAATAATTTACTTTTCTATGTCTGTAAAATTACAAAGAAAAGTAACTGTCGAAAGTCTATATTTTTCTACATACTTCATGGACATTGATGCAACGTAACACGTGTTGGGTACGTTTATTTAAAGAGAGAGAAGACGTAGTAGTTTCACCAGAAACACGGAATTTTCGTCACTGACTCGTAAGGTCAATTTAATATTAGCATTAAATTTTTATGTATATCGAACAAAAGTATAGTTGCAGCGCCAGTGAAATATTATAATTAATAAATAAGTAACTATCAAGATTGTAGTATTTCAAGGAATAATCGCTCACGGCACGACCTGGTACGACAAGAATGAGGTGGCATAATTCGTTGTGCTCATTATTTCGAAGCAATCGTTTCCAAAAATCCAAAGCGTTTTGCAATGGTGCCGTGTGCCTTGTTTCTGATTGTTAATCGTCGTTATCGCGTTGTGAATCGTCAATCTCGCTTCTTTAAACGATTTTCCTAACCTGAACTAGTATACGTTTATAACCTAATTAGTATCTATAACATATTGTTGTGTAGTTCTTTTGTGAAACGAAATCGGTTGTTTATCGTGTCCATTTATATATCAGTAATGTAATGCAACAAGTCATGTGTACTTAATATTATTAAAATTTACTTGTTTAAACATTTTCTACAATTTCATTATTAGAAAAACAAATAAACAAGATTCTTATAGATACATATGTGAGCTTAGTTCTACAGAATAGTAGTGAATATAAACTTATAAGTCACTAAATTACTAATGATTTGTCGCTATTAATCTTTCTGTAATTTTAGGTGAAAGTAATAAAGGATAATTGGAATAAATTGTGCATACAAAAATAGCTTAGTAAAAGCTGTTTTCCAAACAAAAATAAAAGAAAAAAAGCATCATAGATCATATAAAATTTAAGCATTGCTGCGGTTCAGAAGGGCTCTATGTGCTCCACGTCAGCTTTAGCAAATGGTACTTTAGTTTTCAAGAATATTGTATCAGAACATCAAAGGAGAATTTCATCTGCAAATTATAAACTTGATACACGACAGAAACAACATGCGCAACGAAATTACTGCAGCAGTACTATTCTTAGTACAGCTGATAGAAAAAAACGAAAAATTTAGTCCTGATCAATTGGAATGTTTTAAACGACGTTTGGTGGAATTGTTGACGGAACGTTTCAAAAATCATTGGTTTCCTGACAAGCCATTCAAAGGTCAAGGTTATCGTTGTATTCGTGTAAATGGTCATAATCGGAGGGATGCAACTTTAGAGAGTGCTGCAAATGCTGCTGGAGTGAAGTATGAAGATCTATCATTACCAGTGGAATTAACACTTTGGGTTGATCCTAATGAAGTGTGTTGCCGATTTGGAGAGAGCAAAGGATCATATTGTACATTAGCATCATTTGATGATAAAGAAAATACTGTACCAATTTTTCAAGGAAATCATGAAGGATTAGAAAAGGAAAATAAACAATCCGAGGGGCCGACTAAGGTACAGATTACTATGTAGACATTTGTATTTAATTTTTATTAGTAAAAAATGAAAAAATTGGTAAAAAGTTAACTAAAAAATAACATACTTTTATATTTTACAGAAATCCCCTTTGATTATTAATTCAGATCAGCAACAAAAATCAAAACCACTAAGCTCTGCTAATCAGAATCAACAGCATAGCAATAACGGTACAGGTAGGAAACGCAATCTAAACAGCCCAAGGTTGCACGTAAATAGAAATCGTTCATGGTTTGGCCACTCCTTCATGGGCTATGGTCCTCATCCAATAAGTCAACCATGGTATAACATTATGCCTCCTCACTTCTTGGGTGGTCCATCTCCACCTCCTTTCATGGGTCACAGAGGAAACAAGTGGATTCATCCACCATCCTACCCAACAGGACCTGCCCGGTTCCATCACTGGTCTCCCAAAGCTGCTCTTAAAGTATAAAAAAATCCCTCCTTATGAAAGTAGTTAAAAAATCTGTTCCTTTCTATAAAAAAAATTACATTTTTTATTAATTAAAAAATTTTATGTTTTGATGTAAAAGTACATGACATAATAATATTAACAATGTATTTCTATATTATTAAGACTATTATTTACATTTAAATATTAATGTCTTTATATTAGGAACAGGTTTATTAACATTTCTGACGAAAATTCTCCATTCTGTAATTACAAATGACCTTGTTCGAGTTACGACTAAGGCTTACGATTTTTTATGATGAGAAATGTTGCATTATTACATGTTATATATAAATAATTAATTGGATGATAGATGTTTAATTCCGGATGCAAGGTTGCTTGTAAAATATTAGATTAGTCAGAATTTGATTAGAATGAATTAAGTCATTGATGTGTAAGACATAAGAAAAGGTGAATGTCATATCACTTGTGACACTTTTCCGATTAATTCTCAAAAGGATTTAATAGGAAATAGATCGTAGATGTTTCAAGAGGGAGCAGTATTGATTTGATGCGGGTTACCGAAATTGGATGCAATTCCTCTTTAAATTGTATGTAATAAATTTTAATGCCTCATACAGGCGATCTCAGTTCATTAAATAATATTTCATATATGAAATTCTGTCATGTAGTAGAGAGAAAGAGTTTTAAAGAAAACTCTTCTTTAATGTGTATATATGTAGTTTATTCACAATGACTGGAGCTTCAAAGTTCGCTTCATTTTTCAGTATTGTTATAGCGCCGAAAAGTAGATAATTTAGAGGTATAATCTACCAACTTATTAAGATAGTGATATTCTATAACAATATTGACAAACCATGTAAGCTTTGAAATTCTAGTAACACTGATTTGAGAATAATCTTTGACAAGTTTGAATCAATATTATCTTTTATTGTATATTACTATATTGCGTTAATGAATAGAAGAACGATGTCTTTTTTTGAATTTGCAGGTTCGTATTGCAAAGAAATTTAGAATATTTTTGCTTTAAAAAGCACACTATACCTCTTGTGTAAACATACTGCCTCCAGTAGAGATTCTACTAATAATAATTTATGTTAAAAGATTATTAACAAATGCATGAATTTCATAATTAACGTACAGTTACAAAAATGAATGTTTATTTTAATCATGCTCAACTTAAAAATATATTGAGCTTACGGTTTTTAAATAACACTACTAAAACGTAGTATTTAAGAACATACATCATTGATGTTGGTAGATCTATAGCTTATTGCAGTTGAAACTTTAATTCTATTGTACTAATGCAAACGTTGTGTACATTCAATCTTGTATATTATAGACAATTGATAACATCATAGTAATTTATGCTCTTGCTTTGTTAACAATATAAATACATATTTAACTTTTATTTGGGAATTATGAATCTATATATGAAGGACTCAAAAACCAAGTCAAATAAATTAGCTTTTTAATTGTCACTTCATACAATATTTTGAGTATTACAATACTTATTTTCTTTAGTACTTTTGCATATTGCTGTTTACCTACGATTGTTTTATTCAGATATCTTTGTGTAAATATATATATCACTATTTATAGACGTTTAACAGAATAATATTCTTTAATTTTTATATTTAATATAAACCATTGTTTAGTTTTTGACTCTTTCACACGCACGCAAACATTTTAATATCATACATGCCTAAAATGTGCAATTTTGTTCAGTTTATGTTGTAACATAGAATTATTCATAAAGGTAATTTTCATTTCATTTACGCAATTTTAATGTGAGAATTACTTTTAAGAATGAATTAACAATGTATGTAAAATGCAGTATGCAACTTATTTTATTAATACATTATTGATTTATATGATTGAATCATTTTAACAACTTTCCACAAATGTTTTAAAACACTAAAATTGGTAATGAAATGAAAAATTTGAATAGTATAGGTGTTATCATCTGTTACATAATATAAATCTAGCTGATGAAACAAATTGAAATATTGTTGCTAGATATACTTGCTAGTGTCCTTAGATAAATTTCTAAAGATATAACCAGATACAACATAAATGTTATTGAACAGACTGTATTAGAAAAAAATTTTAATCAAATATGTAGTATAAATTTTGCAACTTTCATGTTCCACATTTAACATTGTTTAATATATGCATGAAACTTGCTGTACTGTAGGTGATTTTTGTGTTCAATTTATTAAAATTTATTCAGGAAGAGACATTTTGTTGTTATGAAAAGTATAAAAATTTTATATAGATATAATGTATATGTAGAGTTAAGCAATGTTGCATTCGGATATATTCTTTTATTAATATAATATATATGATGCTCAACATTTGAAATGTTCCAAACTTTTTAATTGTGTTCATATATAAAAAAGAAAAAAAAAACCACTTTAAACACACTTTATGCTTCATACAGCAACATCTTCAAGTAATAGAAAATATTCAGAAATACTTTTTTTATAAGAAATCTATATTCAGATAATATGTGATAAAAATATGTAGTATTAATGTAAATTTTCATTCTTAACAAAAAGAAAAAATTACATACATTTTAGGCAAAAAAAAAATCCCTTTTATATAAAAAATTCTTTTATATCTGTACCTTCTTAAGTACATGATAGTTAGACATTAACATTTTCAAGTGAATATAGTCTTTTGGCATAAAGATCGAATCGTTCTCGAGAAACATGAAAAAATTTTACACAGTAATAAAAATTCGTTTTTTTTTTATATTCAATATACAGAAAAAAATTTTACATTACATTATTACAATATTACATTATTGTGCATTCTCTTATCGTGTAAGACTGTACTTTACAATCGTGTAAAAATAATGTATTCAGAAAGAAAAACAAATATGGTATTAGGCTTTAACGTTTGGATCATTTCGATTGTAGAGTAAAGCACTATATAAACATATGCATATATTCTATCACTGCTGTGTCATATGTTATAAAACTACTTCTTGCATAATTATGCAATGATAACTATAATCCTGTTCTAGAATCATACTGATCTTCGCATTTTTTCATAATTTTAAATATATATCTCTGTTCAATACTTTGTTTCGTGTTATTCAATAAAAATTATATTACACATTCAAGCAAAATATTTACAAATCATTAATTGTACAACCTCTTTACTTTTAGCATTATAATCAAAATTTATAGAATTAATGAATAAAATCTTAAAATATTCTAGAAAGATTCGTATCTGTACTAAAAAACGTAAGAAATCATAATAAAACCATAATTACAAATTAAGAGAATTATCATGCTTTTATTTTTTATAGGTAATATGTTCTTTTTCGAGATGCGATGAAATCAAAAAAAATTTCATTTCATCTTTGTTAATTTTTGATTTTCGCTTGTGCTGACTTAAAATTATATTAATGCATTTTTTGTAAGTGAAATAATATTTTGTAAAGTCTGTTATTTTTGCAAATATTACATGAAATACATGTGAGTTATAATGTTATATTACTATCATTAACATTTGTATGATTACAAACATTATATACAAGACACTTAATAAATATTTCTGCAAATTAAATGTTTTTTTATTTTTCATCAAATATTTTCCAATCTACTTCATTAATAATTTCTGTATATGTATTTTAGATATCTCTGTAATAAAAACGTTTTCTCATTTTGTATTGCATTGATTCCTATTATGTTTCCGCGTATATACGACAGATAAGATGGCTGAATATTGATACCCAATAAGAAATGCCATTATTTTTCTGAGTCGTTCTATTGGTTACTTTTACGTAGTCTATTAAGTACGATTTTCATTATTGGAAATTTTTTTGAGTTCTTTTTTCATTCGGTAATTTTTTTTCATTTCCTGGTAAATTTATAACATATCACACATAAAAAATCGTGTAAGTAACATGTGCAGTAAAGTCACAAAAGCAGTCAAAACATCTGTAACTCAACCTTAAAGTTGACGATTGAGTTACACTTATGGTTTAGATGTATGGCAGACGACAAAGAAGTTTGGAATCTGTCATTTCGATGTTAATCGTAACAATATTCCCTTAAGCATTAGTAGTTTCATAAAAACAATTCTTACCACAATTACCCTAATAGTTGATGATGTTATAGGAAAATAAATTACGTTGGAACGTGTACAAACTATCCATATTTCTGTACGTCTTGAACAATAGGGTTATGAGGCTCCAATTTCGAAGTCTCGCTGTTCATAAATATTTTTTCAGTGTTTTTAGTATAATTTGTGTGTTACACGATGGCTGAAAAATGTAAGGTATGTATGTGACAGAAACTAAATATTACATATGCTGTAATAACTAATATATGTACAGTACCATCAAACCTTAAAAAAATATAGATATTTTAATCAATCAAATAGTAATTAGCAAAATAATTACAGTTAGAGGAAATAAATTCTTTATATTGAAATGTAATTGATGTTTAAGTATGTTTAATTAACTTTTTATACTAGTATTATTAGGTACCATATGTGAATACAATTTTTTTTCATTGCACATTTCAGGAATGTGGCTGCAAATGCGTGAGCTGCAATCAAAATGATCAGCAACATGGAGAAATGCATTTGCATGTAGAAATAGAAAATTTGCGCCAACGTTTAATGGAAAGGGATAATCACATTGTGACAATGGAGACACAATTCCTAAATGAAGCTGATAAGTTTCCAAATGGAGAATTAGCCTCCATGAAGGAAGAAATCTTAATTTGGCAGGAAAAGTATTCAAGATTATATGAAGCTCATAAACGTGTTCAAAAAGTTAATCAAAATCTTGAAGATAAATTATTGAGGATTGTAGATAAATGTGAAACAGAAAAAAGTGCATTTACTAAGGATATTGCAACTTTATCTCATAGATTAGCTGATGCAAATTATACAATACATCGTTTAACCCAAGATAACGTAGGTTTATAGTGTATAATTTTATATAGTATAATTCTTTTCGAGTGAATAATAAATAAGATTTCTATAAATAATATTTCCCTTTAGGAAAAGTATAGAAACGATGTAAATTTGGCAATACAACTACTCCAGTGTAAACCTTCTAATTTTGTTGGACAAAAATATGATTCTGTAAGTTATTTTTATTATAAAATAAAATAATATGAAATACTGATTAATGTATGGAACAGATATCTGAATGTAAACTTTTTTCAGTTGCCTTCTGAGGTACAAGCCAAAGTTAGGACATACATTGCACAAAAGAAACATTCCAATGATACGGCACCTGCTGATGTAAAAAGTATTACAGTGCCAATTTCAACGTTTCCTCCAACCGCAATGGTATATAATGTAACTAAATCTACAGAAAACAACAGCGACGATGACACAGATGATTCCAAGCCACCAGTGGATGTCGTCTCAGCAGCGATAATGGCGAAAGTTTTAGAAGACCGAGAAAAAGAAAGAGTATTTGGCAAACATTGTGACACGTGTACTTGTCACAAAAGTATCTTGATGGTTGACGCTGAAACTCAGACCAATACGCCCGTTTTTTTTTGTAACGAATGTACAATGAAATATGCACAAAATGTAGAAAAACAGTCTGATAATTTGAAAAATATTGACAAAAATTGCCAAAATAAAGGAAGTCAAAACTCTTTGGTGCATGTAGTTTATCACGAAGGAAACGAAAGTGTTAGTAGTAAAATACATCAGAATAATTGTACAAAGAATGGTAATCACCAACTATGCACAAGAGACAAATTTTTAAGTAGAAATTTTAATAAAAAAAATTCAATACGCCGTAGCGATCCGCAACACCAAAGTGTATTCCAGAATCAGAGCGAGAACATGAGTAAACAGACGATACCTTATAAAATTAACGATACATGTCTTAACAGTAAGATAAATGTCGATAAAGGAAAGCAAACGAAGCTGAATAAAAAGTATGAATTACAAATCGATGGCAAATTCAGTTCAAATTCTTGGAATAAATCTTCCAATTGTAATCACATAGTTCCTGAAAATTGTAAAAATTACTTTGATAAAAAAGAACCGAGTCACGTCGATATTATTAACGATAGATTATGGAAAAACGAGTGGACGAAATTAAAATCGCAGACTAAGACGAAAGAAAATAAAGATAAAGTTAATAGTGATATCGAGATCGACATAATTAACGATAGGGCTTGGAAAAATGATAGATCAACTCAAGACACTCATCATCCGACGCAATTAACTTTAATAGAAGTCAAGAATATTGACAATGTCGCACATCAAAATGATTCTGGGCAAATAGAAATAGCCACTAGTCCAAGTTTTAGTAGCGATAGTATTGTAATTTCAACTTCCGATCCTTCCAGTAGTTCTAGTGATGTCGTTCAATTAACTGGAATGCGTTTGCATAATAATGCTAGTAACTTGAAATCTAATACTCAGAACAGAATAACTGGTCCAAGGAATTGCCTCGTAAGAGTAACATCTGGATCGAAGAATATTCTTTTAGATAATGCTGGACATTATAAAACTGTATTATACACTAGTGGAAATAATAAACCAAACACCGCTTTAGTTCACTCGAAAAAATTATCTCGATCTGGATCCGAAAGATCAATTTCAACCAGTAGCGAAGAAAATACTCCGATGTTGCTACATGACAATAATCAGTTGCAAAGAGTAGCTGAATGGGTTCAATCTTCAGTTCACATGGACAGTTCTAGGTCAAATTACACGGAATTAAAGCCTAATGAAAATATAATTGAGAAAAGTCTTTCGTTAACATACTTGGAGGAGTCGCAAACGAAGTCCAAATTAGTCGAAAATAATCGAGAATTATACGAAGATTCATCAAAGAATAAGTGTAAAAATTTAGCGGTGGACGTCCAAGAGTTTAAAGGAGGCAATTTAAATAATGATGTAAATAATTTTTCATTGAATGTAAATAACACTGATGTAGAAAAGGAGAAAGATTTAATATCTTTCGACGTTCCAACGGAAGAGGAAAATGTCTTGCCTAAAATATTGAAGAAACCAGTCACTGCGGATTTTGATTACGAAGTCAAGATCACTAAAGAAATGGAAGAAACTTATTTAAAACTTGCAGCGAGTTTAGACCCTGTCGCGTTAAGCCTGTCGAGCACAGATAATGCGGATTTAACGATCGAGAAATATAGGAAAAATCATAAGAGATTTCAAAGGAGCCACGATAAAACGGGATCAAAAGTGTAAAGTATTCCAGCAAATATTTCAAATAAATTATTACTATTTCAGCAGGGAGTTCCTTTTAAAGATAAAGAGCATTATTTTTTGTAACTACGTGAAACTAAGGCTGTACCAAGAACAGTAGCGTAGGATAAAGCACATTCTATACACCACTGCAGATAGAATTATATTTAGTATTTAATTTGTATTAACGATAATAGTGCAATATTTTTGTCCTGTGAATAAAAGAATAATTTCACAGCAATCACGCAACATTGCTGAGTACGCTATTATTTAACAGCTACATTAGTCTACATACTTGTGTAGTTTACGTGTATAATTTAGTTCAAATTACTTAAAAATTGAGTAGTTCTTTTTATCAAATTGTTTCTTATATTTAAATGACACTGAAATGCTTTACAAAAGATGTAATGTATCACTTATTTTCTCTCCTTTGATTCTCTACAGTTTTGTATAGATCGATCGGAATCTGAAACATAGCCCGACTAAATTAGATGTTTAAACTTTTATTCTTGTTACTGCGACTAAATATTATAGGACGAATTGCGTTCACGTGTATTCAAACAAGACAATATTTAACAAAAATTCGTTGTCAAAATGTCGTAACACTATGCTCATAGTGCGAGTGCATTAGTGCGTGCTACTTCCAATTATTCGAGCAACATAACGTGAATATTTTACCTTGTGAGTTCTCTTAAAATTCGACATGATAATATTTTACAGCGTTGATGCGTAAACTTCAAAGTTTTATTCAACGATCCTCGCAAATGAATAGACGACAGAACGATGTTATTATTATTATTTTTTCAACACGTTCGATAAAATACAAAATGTATTCGTGACGTGTTTTTTGAAATTCGCGATTTATTTATGAACGCGTTTACGCGATTCATAAATAAAGTAATAAAGATTTGTTTCGCGCAAAGATCATCGTCTGTGTTAAAGAATAGTTACGGCACCAAAGTTAAAAGATTAATACTTCTATAGTACTTCATTAATGTTTCACTTAATTTAATATATAATTATTATAATGTAATTACCTATGTTCGTTTGCATGTCTTGTTACACGTTTATGTTAAAGAATGCCTTGAATCACAGTGAGGAGATGACGATTATAATGTTGCTGGCATGTAATTAAAGTAAATTGGATCGTTACCTGATTTCGATGTTAATACAAGCTCGCTGTACTTTGATCGAATTATAACCGATCTCTTACAAAAAAAAAAAAAAGGTATAATAATAAGGTATAATAAAAATTAAAAAAAAAAAAAAATAGTCCAAGAAGAGAGATAATGTAAACTTTCGCTTTACTAAGTTTTTAGAATTCTAATGTCAAATAAAAGGATTACTTCGAAATTATTCCATAAATTGTACTTTTACAAATTATTATGAATAACCATAAACTGATCAGTGTCACGAATATAGCCTCTAATTCTAATCGAGAGTAACTTTACGATTGTACATCTTAATGATTTCTCTCGGTAAAAGGATTAAATATAAAATTGTTAAATATACGGCTCACGAATTTCATCAAAATAAACCAGGATTGGTTCAGCGGAAGGCAAGTGGATTATAAACGTTACGATTGATTGCAAAATAATGTTCTTCCCTGTTCTTTTTCAATTCACGAAAGATTTATGTAACATGTTTCATCGTGCGTGGAACGGGAAATTACGGAAGTGTCGCGATAGTCAAAGATGTTCATTCAATAGAAATTAATCGCGTCGTGAAAAACACGTTAAAGTGACTAAGTGTAAATATCCATTATACGCACGTGCAGTAAGAAGGGAAGCAGATTCTTCGCTGAAGTTAAAACAAATATTGGGAAGATTGGGTATTTTTAGGTTGTTCACCTATGCAGAAACTCCAGAAGCGATGAAATTCGTACGAAACTCGGCTGATTGATTCTTATCGTGACTCGTTAAGCGCCACGCGCTTTGAATTAACGATCATTAATTAAGAAGGGTGCATGAGTCACCGGTATATTGGCGCATAAGTTCTGAATATACAAAGATCAATGAAAAATATCGATCGAGGAACACGTCGCCAAGTGTATTCCCGTCGGTTTCAATCTTTTCTCTGGTGAAGCGTCTCTCCATAATATCCACGAAAATTGATAAACGAACATGAAAAGTTTGGAGAAACGATCCACCAAAAATTTATAAGTTTCTGATTCTTAAATAATCAACTCTTGAATAAGCAGTCTGGTCGATTTAAAAATTCGCCAAATGATTTTTTTTTTTCTTTTTCATGTACGTTTACTTTAAATTTTGATAAAAGTCTCTTTTTCCGGCCATCGCGGTACAGCAAACGAAATTTACAATTATATAACTCAATCCCTATTTCTGCTTAAAATTGTCAGCAGATTAATGAAACGTTGTGAAGAAGAAAAACAGGAAGTTTAGCAATACAAGAATTAGTTTTGTCGATTCGTGCATTCAATACGTACGTTCGAGACGCGTATTGTGCTAATAGCGAAACGATTGAAAGGACAGTGAGATACCCTCGATTTTCTTGACTACCTCGTCACATTCTTCAGACTTTGATAAAGTTCAGATGGCCTTCGAAGGATTAAGTGAGAACCACGAATTTGACGCGGACGATCGAGGTGCACAGGTATCGACTGAGATTCCATTGAAACAGACTGATCGGTTTGGATCTCGCACGGAATTACATCCGTATAGTAAGCAGTTATCCATTTGACTCGAAGTCGGATGTACCGTATGTAATCGTGGCGACGATTCTGATTATGTAAACTGTCAAATAAAATGTGTTTAAAGTAAAACCGATCGAGTTTTTCCTTTACGGTGTCTCTCTTCGTCTGTCATTTACAATTTCATTCACAATTAAACACTCTTATTTCGCTGTTCATCTACAGATTAAATTCATTCAAAAATTGATCACTTCTCACGGATTTTAATTTGATCGTCGTCGCAATAATGTGAACTAATATAAGTATCAACGGTTTTACTGTTAGTTTTCGCTTCGAGTGGGTTTGATAAATCTGATCTCGATGTAAATTTCTAGCGGCGTTAATTTGGCGCAATCGCGAGTTTCAGCCACCGCGGGAAACACATATGCAGGAAATCGATCACGCGATCGGGCCGAGCCCAGCTCGCTTCAATCAAGCTAATGTTCCAATAATTTGGATCCAGCAAACCTGGCTCGGCCAAATGAATGAATGAACGGCCTCGCCTGCCTCGCTGTATTATAGAATACTCTCGTATAACGCGTACCCTGACCGATATATCTAATTGTCCAAGAGTATTGTAACACTTTTCACCATGTACATATGTAGGCGATCCGGTGCATGGTTGGACGAGAGATTGCATTTTGTTCGGCGATCGATATTACGTAAGGGAATTACAAACAATCCCACTTCCTACTGTTTCTATTTCATCTTACGCGGCTACGAGTATCCTTTCCTTTCATTCAGCAGAAACAATGCCTCTAAGAACACTCATTCAACGCTACTCTCATTATTTACGATTGAAGAACCACATTAATGATACTTTGCATTTAACAGAGTTTCTACAAAACACATACAGCTCTACGACGAATTAAAATTAATATATACGTTCACTTTTTCTTTGTTTTCTAGGATCGTGAAATTAAACTGACCAAGCGATGACTCGAAGTAAATAAGGACTTTACTCAACAGACAAGTATCCATGTTGAAACGAAGATCCCTACTTTCTCTTATATACACCACTCGTTATCAGTTATCAAAATTATGCGTGTACAATAACGAAATTCATATATTTGTGAGTACAATTGTTTCATTCGCTAAATATCGCAAGAGGTTAAATACACGTGCACTCTACGTTTACTCTATGTTTGCATCTTTAAATTTCCGCAGTTACAGAATTACGATATTCGACGAACGTCAATCACAGAGTCGATCTTTTTTTACAATCAGTTTAACGTGATTCTCACCGTGTTGATCATCTAAATGTTGGACGTCCAAGTTGGTTGACAGACGGTCACGTTTCCTCGACGTCTGGTCATCGCGTCAGCGCCTGCCGAGTGACCAGCACGTACCCTCGCTTTCTCGACGAACCGCCGAGCCGGCCAACCCCGCGGCAGTAAGAACGCGTTCGTGCTCACGCGAAGACGCGAACCGACGCCGCGGCACGTCGATGCCGATCACCGACGCTTCCTCGAGGTTTGCATCCTCGTAAATGCACCCTGCCCGGCGACTCCGACTCGCTGTTCACCTGGTAGCCAGGTAAGACGCGTCTTCTACTACTCTCCACACGCTTTCGTCTGGGCTCTTTGCTTAGCTCGTTGAAAGTAGTAGAGTACAAGCATTGAGACCATCACTGGTGACACGGTACGGGCTAATTCGACGATCCAGATGGATCATTGTGAATGTCATCGTCGAACAAGTGAACAAGGAATTCTAGGAAATTTGAAGATTCTCGAAGAGGTTAAAGTGCGGACAAGGATTGGATTTATCTGTTTCAAAGTGTTTCGAGTTGAATGGAAACTAAGATCTTTTGTGGTGTAGAAGGTTTAAAGTTTCTCTCTCTCTCTCTTTGGACGATGGACTATTTTTCAGAAAGCTTCGCCTCGTTTGAATCGAGGTTTCTTCGGAGCAATCCAAATCTCGTTCAATTGTTTTCAATTTCTGACGCATTGGTGGAATTCGCGGAGCGCGTGGCCGCTCTCGTGACTGGCGCACGAGGTCGTACTTGAAATTTCATGGGTCATGCCTTTTTTTGGTTTAATCAGATAGCATCTGTTACGAAGCCAACGTGATTATTATAACGGCCACCTTGACCATTTACTGAGCATACCTCGCGTTCTTCCTACAAAGTGATCTCTTGTTTTCTTCTTTTCCTTCTTGGTTAATTGGTTTGGTTCAATTTCAAGATTTTACGCGAGACACCAACTGATCGCAGGATCATGGACTTCTTCGTCGAGTCGCGATTTGAAAGTTCAACAGGGTGGTTCTTGAGGTTCTTCTTGAAAGAAGAAAAACTTACGCGCCTTCCTCGCGGTGGTCTTCGTGGTGGACGGATTTAAATCGAATCGATAAAAGTCCGACTGTTCCACTTAGATGGGCAAGGAAAAGTCCTGCGGAATTTCCTTCTTTCCTCGCCGGACGATACGTAGCCTCGTTGCAATTCTTTTCTTCGTGTTGGCTGTGTCATTAAGCTCAAGTTAGTTTTTATTACACGGTTGAAACGTAGAGGAGAGACTTGGAGATCGATGAAATCCATCAAGATTCAGACTCGAATTAAGCTCTTAATTCACCGCGTTTTGGGCGAGAGTGTTCTGGAACCAAGAAATGATCACTCTATTTAATATATTGCTTTTTGTCGTGTCCACTGTGTGGAATTATTCATGCACACGCTTATATATTTTCACTCTTGATCGATGACGATTGTCAGGGAACACGAGGACTGGTGAGAGTTTGTCCGAATTAAAGCGGCGACACAAAAGCCGCGCAATTTCGGAGCAAACGGAATGGCGCTTGTACTATATTATGTATATTTGTATATATATATGTATATTTGTGTACGCGTTTCATTGCTTCTGTGTGACGAAGGAGAAAATGAACTCAGGAATTATACGTGAAAATAGTACAACCTGCAATTTCGACTAAATCGGAATTTATCGTTTCAAATTAGCCGCAACTGTGTCACGAAGTTAATAGTTGAACTTGTTCTGGCGACGGAAGGTTTTATACTTGTACTAGTCGCTGCGACGAACTAGCTAGAACGCGGTGACGAAACGTAACTTTGCCCGCGTGAACAATTTTCACTAACTTTCGCAGCTTGAGATTCCGCTTCGTGAAACAATCTCGTATAATTTGCAACGATTGTTTCTCAGCAGCCATGAGAATAGATCAACTTCGTTTTTTACAAACTATTTTCTATTTGCTTCGTTAGCACAAATTATTCGAGTTCCCTTCAAAATGAAAGAACTTTATTTAACTTTAAGAAAATTATACAGATTCAACGTTCAAACAACAATTATACATATTGGTCAATAGGAAAGAGAAGTGGTAAACATTTTTATCTGCTCTATTGAAAAAAAAAAAAAAATACTCCGCAGTTCGGCGTTCAGATAACAATTACATACAGTTGTATGCAAATGCTGGGAGAACGGGGGCTTGCAATTGTCGGTACTCGCGTAACAATTAATTCACTGGTCTTTGCTCGACTGCCCCGTGAAATAATCGGTTGTTACATGATCGTTACGCCGCGCGGAACTTCCTTGGTCCGACAGAATATACACAGGTACTTATATACATACACGGTCGTTGATCTCCCGAGGGGCCGGAGTTGGAAGCCGATTCCAACATTTTCCATTCTCGTTAACGGCTCGTTGATTTACTGTTTCGCTCGCGCTATTTCAGCCGGCTCGGTCTCCCGATAAAGCGTCTCTCCCGCGACATTTCCCATTATAAACGCCAGAAAGAAGCGAGAAAGGATCACGGGGGATAAGCAGGTCTCTTAATTGAAACGTTGCGCAACGAATGCTGACGCGCGTCGCATTGCCGCGCCTCATCGCCGCTAAATCGTTATTTATAACGTCGATCACGGCAAATGTTTCGCCTGGGTCTCGTTAAACGAGCTTCATTAGGCTACCGAGCGTTAGGTTGCCGCGTAATTGAAGCGAATCCGAATGGGAAGAGACGTCCTCCTCTTGTCTTTCCAGATTCGATAATCGGCGATTTCGTTTCGCTTTTTGTTAACTGCATCTGTAGAAAGTTTCAGTTTTGAAGAATAGATTAGCGCAGTCTTTTCCATCCCTCAGTTTTTTTCTGTTTTTTTCTTTTTGTTTCATTTCACTCGTTGCCAGTCCATTCTTGATTAGCTGTTTTTAATCCTGACGCGTATCCTAAATGAGTTTCGTAATATTTTAAACGATACTCTGCCCCGCGGTTTTATCACATTTTCGATTCTTGATTGCAATTAGATAGAGTGCACGGTGCATACAAATGCACCGGGAAAATCGTCGATCATGTCACGTGCCTCCGCATTCATATCTCATGTCAAGGTCACAAATGTATCTTTTACAACGATTCTCGCGCGCGTACCGTAATATTCTACCCGCTTCTTTTACATCAATTATCATACCCGCTCTTTTAGATGCCAACTGATCTTCGTACGAATCTCTATAGAAGTTCCATCCATTTCACAAAAAATGATCGACATATGATAAACCGTTTCTGAACCAGTTGTTACGAAATCGTTTTTAAAACGGTTCTAAAGCATCATCCCCGGACATATACGTCGTTACGAACCGGTTTACATATACTTTGTATACTCGTCCCAGTTCGAGCATCTTCCATTAACGATTTAAGCAACTTAATTACCGGAAACCATTTCGTGCGCTCCTCGACGTTTGCTTGGACCCTGTTTCACAACAACGATTCCTTTCGCGCCTATGTGTCCAACGTTTCTATTGCTGTGCGTGATACTTGCTCCTTCAACAAGAGTAAGAAGGAGAGGAAAGGTTGAAATTCTGTTTTCCGCGAGGAAACAGTCGCGCTTCCACCTCCACGATCATCTTCCACGATCATTGTCGCTGAGGAGGAGAGGTGTTCAGTCGGTTGAAGATCGTTTCGCGCGATTCACGGAGGAGACAGATCTTCCTAGAGAGCGTGCAATAATTTCTTCCCACGGAAAAGGGATCGCGAATCACGCCTCGATCCGCCTGTCCGTTAATTCGAAACAAACGGTCGTCGTAAATCAATCGCGTCGTCGTCGGGGCGATCGAGGGAACGATCGTGAGTCACACATCTTGGCTACGAGGTCGTTCGCGCTCGATCCTTCATGCTGACCAGCCTGTCCCTTGGTGATTCGAGGAATGTCATTGGACACGATGCAGATTCTTCGGGGACCACCGGCATGGTGCAGGTCCGCGCGATGCATCGTCTCCTCCGGATGGTACATGGATCGTCGTCATTACCTCTGTGATTATTTCTTTTCTTTTTCTTTCAATTCTGTTCGCGATTATCTTCGGCATGGTCGGCGATTCGATTGTTTCACTGAGTAGGATTGCTCGAATTTGATACCGGAACTCAAATTTCACGAATGAAACGTAAAAGTTTCCATCAGAGACGTTAAAGTAAAGAAATAGAGAAATTTATTTAGAAAAAAAATTATTTAAAACCTTTCTTTAAAATATCTAACGAAAAAGTATCAAGCATTTTCGAAGGAAATGGAACTTTTTGAGTGTAAACGAGTAAATTTGCTACTTTTTACTCTGACTTTTCGAAATGAGGAACGTACAAGGCGTATATCTTCGAGCGGCGCTTGCAAGAAAATATGGACGGTGAAATCGCACAGGAAGATTTATCGCGATAATACAAAACGCTGTACGACCGCTTTCCATTGACCTATTTTTTTAACACAACACGCTTACAATTTTCCGCGCTAAAATGTAACACGTTCGAATTATAAAACAGCTCTTTTGTAACGCGCGTATCGATACAACCAGTGGATTGAAGGGCTGGTGGAAGACGGCTCGTTAAAATCGTTTACCCATTCGCTGCCGCTGATCATGTAAACTTCTTCATCGAGTTTAATCTCTAAACGAAACAAACGAAAACTAAACAACACTAAAGAATATTAAATAGTAAAGCAGCGAGAGGCAAGAAGGTGGGCAAAATATTTGAAGAAAGAGGGAATATTGCGTGTCCAGACTATTACACAGTCTCGATTACACATATATGTATATCAAGCAGTGATATATAATATATAAAAAAGCAACCAACATTTGTAAGATAAAGCGAGGCAAGAAAACTAAATCCACTTTTCCCTTCAGAAAGAATTTCTCATCGCAAAGATTCGCCGCGCTATCGATCTCCCCCTTTTTATATTCAAGCATCGACGAACGAGCGACGAGCAAAAGAAGAAGTAAGAAAAAAAAAAAAAAAAAAAGAAAGAAAAATCAGAACTAGTAGGAAGAAGCTAGTCGAGGGAGCATACAGAAAATGTAGTTCAACGACGTCACGGTATCACGGCGGTAATAAGCATCGCGCAGCTCTAGCGAGACTGACGCGATCGGCTCGAGCATTCCCGCGTATGAGAGCGTGAATAAAACGCGTAAAGATCGGTGTCCGCTCGACGTGGCCCGCTACAGTCAGAGCGAGCGATTGCGATCGCTCGACGAATAATTACGGATGTTGTACGCGAACCCGCTAATTTGCCAGATGCTGGTTGATTGTTGATTCAGCTTGATCGCCGACGAGTGGAAAACGGGTCGCAGGAAGAAGAAGAAAGACGAAGTCGAGAAATGAATGGAGGCCCTTCGTTCCTAACGTTGCCGTGCTTGTTAGGAACGAACAGGCGGGCTGAATGTTTCAGGGAACTTTTTTTTTTTTTTTTTTTTTTTTTTTTTTGGGCGCGCGGACTTCCGGAACCATAGTGAGGTTTTTGTTCTTCGGGCGGCCGTGCAGAACGAGGGAAATATCCCGCGAATCCGGGGATACGAGACGATTCAATTGCTGTGCTTGTTAGCGATCCTTAATTACCAGTGTGGCCGATAATTCTATAATTTTATAATTTTATTATACTGCGTAGAGACAGATTTTTGTTGAATATATAAACTTTTTCCCTAATCCTTGCACTCTGATTATTCTGACACAATTTTTGGACATTTTCATCGGCAGCGTTAAGGTTAATATGCTAGCTGATTTACAAATTTACAAGAGGACTTTAGAAAAGTTTAATTAATCCCACATTCGTACGAGCTCATCGACAGTGTCTATAAACGAAGATACGGCCTGTTAAAAACTTTTACGAGCTGTTTTAATGCTCCTTGGATGCAGTATGTGGATCTCGATGCAACGTGTTCGAAAAGGAAGGAGTTACACGCGAAATAATTGGCACTCTCTTCCGAGAATTTCATTTAAACGTTCCATCCCATCGAGCTCATAGCTTTTTAATTAACGCAACACGGACACGGAATTTTAACAAGCCAGAGTTTCTCCAGCTAATTTCAAATCTGGATTCTCTCTAATGGTATTTTTTTTTCTTTTCATGACGCCGTTTCATTTTGCGTTTCAGGTGAGAGCGACAACGGATTTTGGCGTCCTCCGCATCCTGCTCGTCTGCATGAAGGACTCGAGGTACCGTGGACTTTCTTTACGTGTCTGACTTAACGTTCTATAAAGTATTTAGCGTTCGAAGTATGCTTTTACGCGAGGCAGCGACTGTTAAAGTGTCACCGGTTGTTATTAACGTGTTCAACGTCGCGCGGAACTTTCGCCGGACAGAGATGCCTCTATCAAAGTATACGGTATACTAGAAAGTTTCGCTTGCGTCAGCTTGCCCCGCCGATAGCTTCGTATCACGACAAATATTATGCAGGAAGCTGAGAATTATGCGTGTGGAGTGAACGAAAATAACTTTAGTGCAACGTTTGAACAGCAGAACGTTGAATCATGGCTGAGAAGATCGCGTTTGGACTTTGGCTATTTTGAATTCGAGATAAACGGATCAGACAATCGTGCAGTACATACGCTAGAGAGTCCAATTTAGCAGAGCCTCGCAGTCGAGACAAGTTTTTTTCAATCTTTGTCGCGCCTCTTTTTGAGTTATTTTTGTTTAAAAGATAAATTTGAAAGTGGATCAAGGGTGAGTAATCTACTATATTTTATGAACTTTTACGGCATCACGGGGTTGTGCTTAACTGTTCTCAGACCGGAACTTTCTTAGTGTCGTTCTTCTCGTTCAATTAATTTGATTTCTAACATTCGATCAAGTTAGATTCTTACCAGGATATGCGTAAGATGTATTTTTAGTAACAATTCAGCTCTGTCAATCGTGCATATAAAGTGGGCCGAAAAATTTCTTTTCACCTATTTTTTTTTTTTTTTTTTTCAATAAAACACGAAAATACGAGAAGAAACTAATTTTATTATAATTTGAATTCAAGTTCAAACACGATTGTTGCATTATGTTTCAAATGTTGAGAAAAGGAATATATAATAAAATTATAATATAAAGAATATATAATAAATAATATAAAGAATACATAACATAAATAAACAATTACGGATTTATTTTAGTAAAAGACGATCTTTGGTGCATTCTGTACTAGTTAACGCTTAACATCCTCGAAGGTAAATGCCGAAGTAATTCGCGATCTCTTTGCAAATCTCACCGCTGCGAGTATTGATTTCAAAATCGATCGTCAATCTTCCATTATTCTCCACGCGATTGTGCAACAGAGAATAACGTCGATTAATTTGGACGTTCGCGATTATCATCGATGTTCCGATGAAAAACGACTCTGGTGACTTTGGCGTTACAGCTCTGGTGCCTCGAAAGGATGAGGCGGCTCGACGACGGCCATGCTCAACGACCGCCTCCGTTTAGGGTGCTCGCGGCAACCGACGGCAATTATCTGTCACCGAATGCGATCTCGCCACCGCCGCCGCCGCCGCCGCCGCGTGCACCCGAGCCCTACAAAATCGCGCCATCCACCGCGTCCTCCTCGAGGGCGCATCGCCGATCCAGTTTCGTCATCATCGCGGACTCGAGGCCCGTTTCCCCGGAGGCGAGGAGTCCGTCGCCGACGCTCGCCGCTGGAAGGATCTCGCCGTTTCGTGGACGCGGTTTCAAGGGGCCGCCACCGCGAGCCAAGTCCAGGCCGCAGTCTCCGGAACACGCGGATGCTCGTAGAAGAGGAAGAAACGAACGACGAGGTAAGACACACATACACAGGGTGAGGTCTCGTAATTTTGTCGTACGAAAAAATGTCTCAGTTGTGGAAGTTACATTGGGCTTTCAGGGGAGCATGTACTATTGTAATCAGTTTTATGTTGTTTTGCTCTTTTATCAAGATACGAAGGTCAATTTTTTAAATGGTATAGTTAATATCTCTTCTCGAATTCGGATGAAGCGTTGAAGTCTGCATAGAAAAGGTTTGTGATATGAAAGTTATCTTCAATTTTTTAAATGGAGTAGTTAATATTTCCTCCCGAATTCGGACAAAAGCGAAAGTGGGGTACATCAAATGGGGTCTAAAATACATAGTTACTGAGATTAATGATCACTTTTCTAATACTCCATAAAAAAATATTTTTACTAATATCTCAGTCAAACCTATGTATTTTAAACTCTATTTGGTGTAATACTTTTTTTTATATCAAGAAATATTAACTGTTCCATTTAAAAAATTGAAGGTGACCTTTGTATGTTGATAAAAAAGCAAAAGAACATAAAACTGATTACAGTAGTATGTGTCCACCTGTAAGCCATGCAACTTCTATCTGAAACATTTTCTTCGTACACCAAATATTTTATGAGTTATTTGACGTCGTCACGTTACGAGAATCACCCTGTATATAACCAGAGTTATCCTAAATATAGCCGTCATATCGAGAGAATACAAAATTACTTTTCACTCGATAAAATCTCAATCTCAAGAGTATGGAGGAATGTATAGATTGCAGCGATCCAAGATCCATCGAGCTTACAGGGAGCTCTAATCGATGTTTGTCGCAATTTGCAGTGTCGGTGTCGCAGCAGAACAGTCCGAGGAGAAGCTTGATCCCGCAGCCGACGCGTCAACGCTCGACGTCCTTGAGCAAATCGACGGAGCGTCTTGCCTCGCCGAGGCTCGGTCGTCGCGCGGACTCGCGGACCCGTGTCCACACCACGGACTCCAGGAATCGTTTGAACGCCTCCGGGAACAGTAGCAGCGCGACAAACCTCGCCGCTCGCCGACAGGGAACAGCCTCGAAAACGCCTAGCAAGCTCTCGCCGATCCAGGGAACACCGACGAAGCCGGAGCGAACGTCGCAGTGCGCGAAGAGGGATCGTTCGAAGGATATGGCGAAGCAACAGAAGGTCGCCGCGTCTCCGTCGAGGAACACCTGGACCGCGAAGAAGCAAAGCCAGGAGAGAGTCACTGGCGTAGGAAAAACGCAGAACAAGGACCGCGTTACGTCACCATCGAAGATTCCGTTGAAAACGAACCGAGTCAGCTCGAACGCGTTGAATCCAGCTAGATTCATCAACATCTCGAACAGCCAAGCCAACGGGAGAAGTAAAAAAGCCGGGGACAAAGGATCGAAGGAGGCACGCGCGAGCACGAACGAACAGGCGATCGAGTCGAGCCAAGGTAGCAAGCAGTCCGACTCGGGAACGTCGAAAAGTTCTCAAGCTAGCAACAAGGGCTCGAACACCGAGAGAAGTCCGGCAGCCGATCTGCATCTCATCGATCTCCTGAAGCAAACATCCGCTGCCACGGGGACGTCCAGCGTGGTGAATACGACAGCGACGACGGCTGTTCAGCCGCTTCACATCGACGCCAACGCGTCGGTTCTTCTGGACGCGGAGGTGTCCGAGAGGCGAGGTCAGCTGGAGAAGAGCCAGCAAGATCTTTCGAACTTGAAATCAGCGAACACGGCTAGCGCCGACGCGGCCGCTAAGCAAGCGCAGAATTTTCAAATGGCGAACGGCAACGAGGATCATCGTCAGACGAATCCTCCGATCTCCAAGTCTGGTAAATCTAACGGCGGACGAACGAAGGCCGGTGGAACGGAGAGCAGAAACGATTCTCCGGTCCCTACCGAGAACGTCGGCAGTCACTCGAAGAGTAACAGCATCAGTCAATCGATAAAAAGCGTGAGCAAGGTGAGTAACGCTGCGAGCAACACTGGCTCGGCGACGCAACGTTCCAACAGGATCGTCCAGAACGCGATCAACGATCAAAACGCGAAAAACAGCAGACCTAACGAGCAGAAGATCGAGGAAACCGCCTCCGTTCAACCGGCGTCGACGAACGTTCAGTCGAGTTCGAGCAAAGCGAACGAGGTTGAGCCGGCGAGTGATACCACGCGAAATCCATCGAGCACGGATGCTCAAAGGACAGCTGTCTCCGTAGCGAGTGCGTCTGTGAAGCAGGAAGATCCCGCGAGAACGATCCCGAGGTCCACGAATAATTCCGAGGCGACGACAAAGGTCGTCGCGAACGCGAAGAACGCGCCCGTTCCCGTGAAAAGCACTTCCGATCAATCAGCCTCCTCGAGGGCGAGCAACAACGTGTCCAACGTGGCTGGTGCGGTGAACAACGACTCGAGGAACGCGAACAGCGCTGGCAAAAACGCGAAAGCTCGTGCCGACAATCACGGGAGTGGCACGTCCGTAAAATCGTCGGCGAGAGTGTCGGTCGATTCGATCGAGAGCGTCCGATCCACGGACACCGGCGTCAGCGTGGACACCGTGAAAGGCGTGTCCTCGCCGAGGGAGAAGACCGGGATGCACGTGGTGAAACGGCCGCAGGAGATCGAGACGTTAAGCGGGAACGTGATGTATCTGGAGCAAAACGGCGAGCCGGCGTAAGTACCATTTACCGTATCGCGTCTCATCGCCATCGTCGTAAATTGTTACGATCCTGAAATTTCCCCCGTTTCGGCGGCGAAATTTCTGAATTTTTATTTATATTGCCTTCACTCTCGGTGAAAATTTCTTACTTCGGCGAAATTTCTTATTTTCTCCAATTTCGGTGGAATCGACACTACACGAGTAACTACGAAGCAGAAATTACGAATGCATTGTCAAGCGCACTTGCAAGATTTATTATACGAAAGCGCGTTTTTTCTGAAAAGAGTTTGTTTGCAGGCCGATCGATTCCATGCATATTTCGGAGAATATTTCACGTTAGATCGAGAGAAAGAGGGAGAGAAAGATCGTAGAATGTTTAGAACACCGCCGACTCGGTGGTTGAAATTAGGCTCGTAGCGTTTCTATCGATTCACTCGCAAGGACTTAAAACTTGCCACCACTTTTCACCTCCCCTTCCCGCCGCGAAATTTCGACTTTGAACGGCCGCTCGTTATTCCTTGATCTCACGAAATCGTATTTATATCGGGACCGGGAGATATTAATCTGGAAAGATCCAGTACAGGCACGGAGGCTATTTATGCCGTCGGAAGCGACAATAAATCGCCGCGGATCCGATGTGGATCCGTATTAAAGGACACGTTGTTAGCGGAATTTATATACGGATGGTTGCGCTTAGTTGGTCTTAGGAACAAAGTGAACGTATTGAAAAGTCGACAAACACGGTCTGTCTAAAAAAAGAGAAAAAAAATTGAACTTGTTCTTTGAAAAAAAAAAAAAAGAAAAATAACAGGATTTAGTGTACAGGATACAGGAAACACACTTCTGCGAGGAAGATATTTTTTTCCTTATTTTTGCGAAGACGTTCGATTATTTTCAAAAGCTTCCGGGGGAAATTTAATGCGACACGAAAGCGGGACATCATTCTCAATTAAAACGAATCGCGTTTCGTGATGAGTCGCGTAACGAAAAGAATCGCTGAGCGGCTTCCGGCGGCCAGAATTATGAGTTACCTTAAAACTCGCTTGTTCGCTTGAAATCGTGCTTGGCCGCGCGCTTAGCTCTCGGCCGAGAGCCCATTTCTCTCCACGGGGCGAAATTGCCCCGCGAGATCTTCCGTTATCAATATCAGTGCATCGTCGCGTAGCTAATCAAGCTACGAAGAGCAGGAAGATTTATCCGCGGGTATCAGCAGTTTATGAAGTGACCGCCGCCTCATTAAGGCCAGGTAATCGCGCGCAAGATCACGAAACGGTTACGTTACCGCGCAGTTATTTATTGTTACGTCTTCCAGCACGTAGATCCAACCGCCTTGCTCGGCCAACTTGCGCGATTTTCCTTAAGCGAGAATTAATTGCGTTGCAGAAAATACTGGACCAAGGTTAAGCTTGACGAATTAGTTTAACGCGGATCGAGTGTCGCCCTTTGCAACTGGCCAGTCTACTTGATTAATTTGCTTTACATCCCCTCACTAACTACGCGACTTTCCCTCAAGCGAGAATTACACTGGACCAAGGTTAAGCTTGGCGATGAACTGGTTTAACGCGGATCGAGTGGTCGCCATTTGCAACTGGCTAATTTACTTTTCACACCGAACACACGTCAACTCTGTAGTAGTGTGCAGTCGTGGCAGAGTTCTACTCGCGATAGGGCAAAATTGCTTTCTGTTCTTATTCTCGCTGCGTGATTATTTTCTTTCACTTTTGAAAAGACAAGAGACAACAGTGGAGTAGTTTTTCAGACGCAAGTTCTTCTCTTGGATTTTTTGTTCGACTGTTTTGAAAAGACAAGAGACAATAGTGGAGTAGTTTTTCAGACGAAAATTCTTCTCTTGGATTTTTTGTTCGACTGTTTTCCGTCGAATTTTATTTCAGCGTCTTCTGTCAGCTTCTACGATCTCTTTTTTACATTTAAATGTCTCTGTCACTCCCATCTATTACATCGTAGAAAGTCAAGGAAGGGAAAGGAGTGTCGCGAGTATGGTCGTTACACGGACGTTGGTTAAATTGTCTTGGTCAGAGCTTGCGTTTCCTGGCGGACATTACTGGACAGGGAGGGTAGTGCGGGAAAACTTGGCCCATCGTAAGATCCACCGAGTTCCTTCACCCCAGCTAGTTGTAAAGCACCACCCTTTCCACTGGTCGATGCAACCGAGTTGGGTTTATCGATCCCGCGGCGATTTACATCGCCACGGCCTGGCTCAAGGGGATTATAAATCAGAATTTCGAATCGCCTTGTTGTACGAGCGTCGCTAATTAACTTGGATCGGATCGGTGGTTGAAAGAGGGGAAAAGGAGAGACGAGGGGGGAAAAAAAGAAAAGCACGAACGACGAAAAGCACGAGACCGTCAAGACCGTGTCTATCGTTCACGCTTTTGAGCCACATAATTCCTTTATTTCTTCTTTCTCGTTCGATAAATTCACTTTTTTCTTTTTTTTTTTTACTCCGTGTAGGTTTGTTGAAACAAACTGAATTGAACTCGTTTATTAAAATGCTTAGATTACCCGAGTCCTCTTCAGAAATTACCATACACAATATCAGAATTTTTTTTGCCTTGTCTTACTAAACTACGTCAACTTCCGGATTCGACACGGATCGTTCATGTCACATAATTCCTTTATTTCTTCTTTCTCGTTCGATAAATTCACTTTTTTCTTTTTTTTTTTTACTCCGTGTAGGTTTGTTGAAACAAACTGAATTGAACTCGTTTATTAAAATGCTTAGATTACCCGAGTCCTCTTCAGAAATTACCATACACAATATCAGAATTTTTTTTGCTTTGTCTTACTAAACTACGTCAACTTCCGGATTCGACACGGATCGTTCACGCCTTTGAGCCACATAATTCCTTTATTTCTTCTTTCTCGTTCGATAAATTCCCTTTTTTCTTTTTTTTTTACTCCGTGTAGGTTTGTTGAAACAAACTGAATTGAACTCGTTTATTAAAATGCTTAGAGTATCTGAGCCCTCTTCAGAAATTACCATACACAATATCTGAATTTCTTTGTCTCACTAAACTACGTCGACTTCCGGATTCCTCAGAAAGTTTTACACGCCGAGCGATTTGACGCTTGTCGATGTTAAAGGTACAGCAAATGAAGCGTGTGTGAGCGTCGTTGCGAATGGAACGATCAAACTTCACCGACACTTTCACGCGAAGCTTCCATTCTCGATTTTCACGACCCATTTCGCCTCGCTTCGTTTTACGCTCCATTTCTCGGATCGTTCAAAAATCACAGTCACAGCGGAGATGTGACTAATTAAGTCACGTCGGTCATTTAATTAATCCATCCAGTTTCGTAACTTCAGCGAGCTCGAAGCAGTTCCTTGTTCACCTGTTACAATGTAAAACTCTTTTTCGAAACGACAGAGCCGACCACGTTTTAAAAATGACTCGGAGAGCCGCAATAGCGTGACGATGCTGCGTATAATCGCAAATATACGTATACGGTGGAAACATAGTGGAAACATTTGGAAAAATATGAGACGTAAGGAGGGCCGGCAATTCGCGGATGGATTCCATTGAATAATTCATCCGACTGTTCGTCTCATTGTCGAAGCTTGTAGCTTTGTTCGTCGAACCAATTCTCGGGAAGTGGTGAATTGCAATTTTCAAATTAAACCCTATCCCGGTGACGCGATCCAGTCGGACTGCTACGTGTGTTTGTTTTCTTTCTCGATTACTGATAAGCCGTGAAAATGGTGTACAATACGAAATCAGGTTCTTTTTTCATTCGTATTTCCACAGGGGAGCCAATTATAAATGCAGAAATGATTGCTCTGAATTTGTGCAATGGAAAAGTTTGAAGTGGAGTTCGAGCGTGAAACACTGACAATGAGCGAGAGCTGCTAACGTTAATGGCCAGCTGTTCGTTTCGATCGCGAAGACACTCTTCCAGCTATATTTAATCATCTTCAATTTTAGTATCGGACGGGCTGCGCTCCGCGCGAGATTAATCGTTTTCCACCGTGATGACGATTTCGTTCGGTGAATCGGTGATGTTTACTTTTTGATCGATCGATCTTCAATCATGCTATTCAATTCCATGGAATAATTTGCGCGATTAATCATCGATCGATCACTTTCGTTTAAGTGAAATGAACACGTTTAATTGTTGATATATGTATGTTTATATTTATTTCAGCCTCTTTGGCCTTGGAATTGACTTTGGTTCTTACATTGCTTTCTCTTAACATTGCACAATTTCACATTGCATTTGTCCTAAATTTTACGTGTAATATTTTTGTATCCTATATTTATATTTATCTTAACTATGCTATTCTTTTGTCTACTTAAGTATCTTAACCTAATTCTTTCATTTTATTTAATTGTTGATGTAACGTGCTTGACCATTGGTTCAATATCAGAGTTAGTAAAGATAAAAATCCGAAGAGAGTCGTAAATTCAACGCACCGTGAAATTCTTCTGAAATTTTTTTCAAAAAAAATTTCACACGCGTGAATTTGCACTCATCACTGGCCCAAGTCGATCCAAGTCGATTTCGTTTTTGCTTTTTTACTTTTCCTCATTGACGAGGTACTAATCGCTGAGGACGCTGAAAATAAACTTCGCCAAACGCTGGACACGCACAATTCGTCTGGTTCGAACAGCCTCGTTTGGGCCGAGCAAATATTATCACGTCTATTATTAGTCGATCGTCCGCTCGGGAAATGGAATTCCTCTAAAAACACGGTTACACGTGCACACCATTTCCGGCCTGTTGAACGTAAACGCAGGCTGGCTCGCGCGATCGATTCGATTTCGTTCCGTTGCACCACAATCTCGTCGAGCTTGCATTACGCATGTCCCTCGTACGTTCGTATAGTTCGTTCATTTCGTCGACGTCAAAGTTTGACTAGTTGGTGTGTCAAACCTTCGAGATCACTGACAATAAAATTCCATTAATATCTTGAAGAAAAGAGTTGTTGCTTGACGAGGTCTGGCTCTCGAGAGACAAAGTGTACATTTGCATACGTTTCGAACATGCAACGTTT